ACACAATAATATAATGTAATTCGGCCACGACGTCTTATATCCACGGTACACGAAATCCAATGGGCTATTTTTATTTCATTTTATATTTTTTTAGCTATGTTTACCATGATCATCTTTATTTGTAAGTGAAAGAATGCAAGCATGTGATAAATATGAAAAATATATTGATGGAGAATTCCTAAAATTAATCCTATAAATCAGTCCCATCAATATTCAATGAAATTCTTAAATCACTCATATATTGATATTCTTTAATACCCCCCTCAAATTTGCACACAGATTTTAACTGAAGTGTATCAACTTGAAAACTAATAGGAAGTTGTCGAGACAAATTGTTGTTGAAAGAATTATACTTCATACTTAAGTCTACAAGAGCGAAGCACGACCCTGAACACTTGATCAAAATGTGACAAATAACCAACTATATTGATATATGAGACGAGTAGATCTGATCACAAAATTGGAATATTGAGACAAGGAGAGCCGAACATGTTTAGAGTAAAATATGATAAACTAACTCTGATACCTCGTTAAGAAAAAAAAAATTGTAGAAAAAAATTATACATGAATAACAAAAAAAATATAACCTCATTATGTTATTACGGCCTACATGTTACACAAATCTCAATGGCTACTTCTCTTTTTAATTATATTCAACATTGAGATCTTGAGATAGGATGATAAATTGATGATACTCCACGTAACTCTGCTTTCACAATTTACTTTTTATTTTTGTTGTGCTATCATTTTTGTGAAAAGACGAAAGGTGTGATTTGTTGTTTTGTCATTTTTGTCAAAAGCCAAATCGTTTGGTAACGTCGTACATTAATGGTTAGATTTTTTAAAGCAGAAAATAAAAAACACATTTGATAAAGCTTGAAATTTTGAAATTTTGAAGTTTTGAAAAAAGAACTTAAAACAACTCATTATGAAATCAGTATTGTACTGCAAGGATGGATTCATAGCTCATTTTTTAGAGAAGCCTCTAGAAGTGGTTAGTAAGTTTTATTGATCGAAACTAATGTTAGTCTTATCCCATCTACTCGTTTAGTTGTCCCCTGAAAGGACACAAAACCCTTTAAATTAATCGTGATATCCTATTATCATGTCTATGGTCAAACCAGTACACGTGAGCAATGCTGAGTAGATTGGGACTTTTCAAACTTCTTCTATCACGCCTCTTTGTAGATATTATTCACTTCGTATTTTGAGAGTCAATATAACTAGGAGATGTTTACACATTAATTCTCAAAATTTTACAAAATATCTCTCCTAAATTTTCTTTTCTAAAACCTCTCTAATTCTTTCTTTATACTCATTCTTCCTCTTTTTCTTTTTCTTTTTCTTTTCAAAAAATTGCTTTATTCCCTTTCTTCAAACAAATCCAAAGTTTTCCCCTTCAAAGTTCTCTCATATATATATATATATATATATATATATATATATATATATATATATCCTTCTTCTTTATATTTCTTTTTAAAAATCATGTATGATGCATGTGCAATAACCTTCTTTTCTCTCTTCTTATTTATTTTTTTTTTTTTTTCTTATTCTATGAATTTATTACTGTAATTTTATACAAGTAAGGCTGTTAGCACTCGTTTTTCGATTGGTACTTTTTGTTAGACAAACTATAACGGTTGTCACCTTTTGCACAATATTGCATTTGAACGGCTATAATGAGATTTTTAAAAATAAATAAATAATTAAATATAATATAATATAAATACCATTTTTAAAAATAATAATTTAAATAATTTTTTTATAAAACAGTGTGCAACAAATTAGTTACCAAATATATTTTTGTTTCGGAATAAATCGCACCACAAAATAATAATAATAACTATAATAAAACGTTACTCTTTTCTTTTCATAAAAATTTAAAATGCAAAAATATAAATTGTTGTCTAAAAGATTCCTAATGTCTATATTTTATATTTTTAAATTTTTTTAGAGCAATTTTTTTCTTCAAATATTACAAACTATATGGATTTTTATTACTCTCCCATTACTAGCATTATTAATTGGAAAAAAATACAATGTTTTATTACCCCTAAAACAAAATCATAACTTAATCACTTAGCTAAGAAATGGGAATTGAAGATTTCCAAGTGGTTGCATGAGTTGGTAGACTGAAAAAGTTGTTAGAATAGTAGAGAGTTTTGTAAAAAATTTAAATATGTAAATATTTGGGTCCAAAAATATAAAGAATATCTCAACTTTAGAGTCTGTGCATTAGAGATGATGTCTATGTATAAGTAGGAGCCACATTCGTGAAGTGTATCAACATAGAGCTAATGAAAAAAAAAAAAAAATAACCCATGTGTTGTCACACTAATTGCACGACAATATAACCTGCCGTCACGCTAATTACAAGGTAATATAACGTCCGTCGCCACGTTAATTACATGACAATATAACGCCGATTGTCACACTAATTGCACGTAGACGAGCACAAAAGAACCATAAACCATAGTACCGAACCGAACCGGGACTTAATCACGTTACTTGCACACTGCACACGTTACTCACCTCAATCACCACGTTAATCGCACAACATCATATATATATATATATATATATATATATATATATACACACACACACGGAGAAATAAGAGGTGGAGTAAAAATAAAATTTTGTAACATCTATCCTCTCCGCACTCTCAATATTTCCCCCACTCAAAACATGCAACATCTATCCCCATGTTTTATACACCCCACTCGAAACACCCAACATCTACCCACATATTTTATACACTCCACTCGAAACAAGCAATATCTACCCACATGTTTTATACACAAGCCCTGTCACCCAATTAACGATTCTTAATGTTAACGATTCTAACTCTAAACTTGTTGATTGTGATGAATTGCAGCAGTCCGAAACTCACTCCCAACTCACCCCCAAGAGGAGATAACGCTGCTCCCACCACCTTGATGCATTCGTGCATGGTACTAGTCATGCCAATAAAATCATGTGAGGGCCAATAGTGGAATTTTTTAATTATTTCAGTGTGGACAATAATAAATATATAATACTAAAAAAATTAAAAACAATGCCCCACTGACTTTTACTGGTCCGCGCTTATCTACCCAAATGTTTCATACAGGAGCCGTCCCACCCTTTCTCCTGAAGAGAACAATTTTCTTTATCATTATCATCAACCAAAATCTAACTCTAAACTTGTTGATTGTGATGAATCTCAACGGCCCAGGGATGTCCTAGGAGGAGACAGGGCTACTCCCACCATCACTTTGATGTGCGTATAGTTCTAGTCGTTGCATCAAAAAAGAGTTGTATGTATTCTTTTTCTTTTTCTTTTTTTTTTTAAAGTGATGTATCATGTGAAAAATCAATAAAAATATTAGATATTTTTAAATTTATTCATGAGTTTTTATAACTTTAATTGGCAATTTAGGGTATATTTGTTAGGAGAGGTGAAAGGCGAGGATGGAAATGAGCTAGAGAAAATTAGATGGTTGTCCAAGCCTTCTCCTCACTAGACCGAAGAAAATAATAAAGGTGCTATGTTGTGGAATTGACAATATTATCCTTCATTAATTTTTGTAGAATTATATTAATGAGGTTAGAAAAAAAAAAATAGAATGCTTTAGGAGAGGTTATTAGTTTCATTGGGACTTTTAGAAAAATTTAGAATCCTTTAGGAGAGTGTTAGTAAGTTTTATTGGGCGGAATGGATGTTATGACGTTGTTCTTATTATGTTTGTTCTTCATTTAGTTGATTAGCGAAACGTCACAAAACTCTAAATACAACTTGTGTCTACTCAAAACTCATAAAAATTTTAATTTGGTAGATTGCTTACACAAAAGAAAAATTACACTAATGTCTCCTCATATTTAATAAAATGCATAAACCTACTTGACAATCATCTTCGTTAAATTATGTTTACAAAAAAAAATATATTTATAACAATTATATTCAATCTCCATGCGAGTTGGGAAATTCAAGCAATTTTATAGATTTAAAGAAGGATTTATAATATGTACAAAAGGCAAACCTGAATAAGCACTACCCAGGCCCGAAACATACCCAGACTAAAGCAAGACCTATAATTATATTTTGTATTACTTATTAAAGCACTTCTATATTTTGTTACTTATAATTGTTTTTTATATGTTCAAGTTTGTGAAATTCTTCTTAAAATGTTAAATTTTTTCTTTTAATTTTTCATCATGTTAATAATGACATACATTTCTCAAATTAGAATCAAAGTCGTGAATTTTAAATATTTTTTCTTTTTTGTTTTTGAAAATTTAAAACAATTGTTAAATACGTAAAATTTAATTCTTGAACCAAAAAAAAAAAAGTCTCCAAACTCATTATTGCATCATTTCTTATTTTATTATATTATAACTAGCCTTTATACTAAAATAAGAAATTATGCAATAATGAGTTTGGAGACATTTTTTTTTGGTTCAAGAATTAAATTTTACGTATTTAACAATTGTTTTAATTTTCAAAAACAAAAATTAAAAAATATTTAAAATTAATTACTTTGATTCTAATTTGAGAAATGTATGTCATTATTAACTCGATGAAAAATTAAGAGAAAAAAATTTAACATTTTAACAAGAATTTCACAAACTTGAACCAAAAAAAAAAAAAAAAAACAATTATAAGTAACCTGACTGACATGGATATGGTTAATCTTTAACTCAACAGCGACTGACATGGATATGGCTAATCTTTAACTCAACAGCTTAGGGCCTGTTTGGAAGCCCAAATCTGTTATTATTTTCATATTTTGGTTTGTATTTTGGGCCAATATCATGTTTGGAGTGGACTAATGTGGTATTGAATAGTGTCAAAACATTATCAGATTTGAGTCAAAACCCATATCAGGAATTTGGTGATATTGGTCGTTTTTACACTGTAGCGGCGATATCAGACTTGGGCCAAACACTGTAGCGCTAGTATCAAGTGATTTGAGACACTGTAGCGCTGATATCAGGTATATAATCAAATTTTTCTCATTTTAGGGCATTTGTGCCTCTCGTTTCTTTCTCTTCTCCCGTATGTCACTTGTTGTTCTTCGAGAGTTTGTAGATCGAAATCAAAATTTTCTCATTTTAGGGCATTTGTGCCTCTCGTTTCTCTCTCTTCTCCCGCATGTATCTGAGAGGCGATTTGGGCCGATTCACTTCAACCCTTCACTTGTGCTTGCTGTTCTTCGAGAGTTTGTATATCCAAATCAAAATTTTCTCATTTTAGGGCATTTGTGCCTCTCGTTTCTCTCTCTTTTCCCGCATGTATCTTAGAGGCGATTTGGGCCGATTCACTTCAACCCTTCAGTTGTGCTTGCTGTTCTTCGAGAGTTTGTAGATCCAACATTAGTCTGGCTGTCGTACCTCTCTGTTGTCTGATTTCTCTCTGTTTTCACACATCTCTTTGACGCGATTTTGAGGTTTCAACTTCAACCCTTCAATTCAGTCATTGTGCGATCTGTTCCTCAGTTGTGGCTCTCGTACCTCTCTGTTGTCTCATTTGTCTCTGTTTTCACGCATCTGTCTAACGCGATTTTGGGGTTTCAACTTCAACCCTTCAGTTCAGTCGTTGTGCGAGGTAGTTCAAGGCTTTTGTGCAAGTAGGTTTTTGAAGTCGCTGTAGGTAACACCATTACCAAACCCTAACCCTAATTACGACTCTATTTATTTATGCGCAAGCAGGTCTTTGTATGTATTCTCGATTCTCAGATGTATGTGGGATTTTTTTTAATTATGTTATTGGTATTCTCGATTCTCTGATGTATGTGGCAAATTTTTTTTCCCTTTTTAAAATCAGAAATAAATTTTTTGAAATTAAAATTTTAATTTAATTAATTTTCAGAGATATGAAAATCAGAAATTAGAAACTGGAAACTGGAAATTGATGCAACTACGTTCTGTTTTTGAATTATTTCCCTTTCAAAACAATACTAAATAACACAGTTTGTGAATCCAGGCACAATTAGGATGAAAGTCAAATTTGTTAAACACAGTTTTTTTGCAAGTTTGTGGGGTTTCAAAGGCACAATTATGCAATTACCAGGAATATATAGTATATTTTTTCATTTCATGGCATGTAAAACGATGTATGAAAAATTCAGGACATTACACAATCACCCCAGAAATTATTTCCGTTTGACTTAGTACAAAGAAGTGCAAGGTTGTCACCACAATCTCTCTCAAGATTAGCGGTAGAAGCATTACACATTCTCATTAGTATAATTGTACATGTAGTCCTAGAAATGCCATTGGTTTGCCACATATCAGCACTATTAGAGAAATCATTATTAAGGTATAGAAAAATAATAACTGATGCAACGTACCTTATGCAAAGAATACCATACATACACAGAAGACAAGTTGGACCGAAGTACCCTTGAAAATTCAAATAAGATTACAAATATAACCTTCAAATATTTTTAATTATTACAAATGTACTGCTTGTGCATATCTTGAAATGGTTGGATTTCCAAAATTTAGGTTGATAGGGAAATTTGTAATTTTGTGAGCCTTTGATATAAGTTGCATAACCTTGAATCTGATAAAATAAAAAATAAAAAAATTTGACTAGAGTTTTCAAAAGATTTGAAATCAATTTTTTGGTATTTTTAAGAGAGTTTTAAGATTTGAAATCATATACTTTGACAGATGTAATATAATAATTCTCTTGTGTGTAATTTGAAGGTAGAAAATTTAAGAACAACGTAGGTTTGGATCGTGATTACTGTATTAATTTCTTGAAATTATAAATTTAATTGAATTTTCACTTTAAATTTAAAATTATATAAACAATTTACTAAAATGTTAAATTTACTTAATAATAATCAGATGGACATGAACTATGACAATGTTAACCAATACCCATCAAGAGACATTCATTCTCTTGATGGTGAGAATGGTGAGGACGCTGTAGTTATTGAATAGGCTGATGCCGCTGTTTGGTGTGATGCCCATCAAGAGAAATTCATACTCTTGATGAAGGAAAAGGTTGGAAAAGGAAATCGTACATGCACGACTTTTAATTCAATTGGGTGGACACATATTGTGGACGCAATGTTGGTGGAAACTGGAAAGAAGTACACGAAGGACCAATGTAGACAAAAATTCAATACTATCAGAGCATTGTACAAAGATTGCAAACAAATATTATCCGAGACTGGTGTAGGGTACAACAGTGAAACTGTGATGATTAAGTTGGAAGTTGAAAGATGGGTTCGATTATGCAAGGTTAGTATTTCAATACGTGTCTATTTACCATACATACAGTTAATAATTAGTGATTTAGTATTAAAAGGGTTTGATGAATAATAATTGTAAGCTATAACGTGTAGCTTCTCAAGTATGGCAAAAAAAAAAAATACAGGGGTGTAAGAATTATGAGCAGATAGTAAGGATTTTTGGGGATACACATGCTACTGGTCAGCATGTTCATCCTTCTACAAAACCACCCAAACCTCATTAAGTGCAAACAATGTCTCAAGTGGCAACACATGAAGCTGTAATTCATAACATTGAGGGTAATGCGGACATGACTGATGTAGAACGACTTAATGTAAAAGGACCTATTGACCTCAATCCTACTCCCATTTATGTAGCTAAGAAACCTAGGAAAGAAAGTTTTGCCTCCACAGTGTCTCAAGTGATGGCATGTTTAACTAATATTGGGAATGCGAAAGCTAATAAAATTGCCAAAGCCATAACTGAATCATCTTCTAGTTGTCAACCATCTCGTGTTAATGAAATGCCTGAAGTGACATCTCCCAGTAAAAAAGAAAAAGAAAAAGAAATGGATCCCCAACTTAAGGAGTGCCTTGGGATCGTCAACACATTAGTGGGGATTGATGATACCCATTATGCTAAGATCATAAAGATGTTTGGTGAGAACAAGGTGTGGAGGGACATATTTCTTTGCATTCCTGATGAGAGGAAGGTTGGGTGGGTGATGAATCAGCCTATGTGATATGTTCGCTATCTTACTTTTATGTACTTTTAGATGACTGTTTTATAACTGCTTTTATATTTTTGTTGGATGACTATATTTAATTTTTCTTATCTACTGCTTTTACATTACTGTTGGAAGACTGTATTTAATTCCTCTATCTACTGCTTTTAAATTAATGTCGGATGACTATTTATGTGCTATATCTATCGCTTTTACATTTTTGCTGGATAATTGTATGATTTGGTATGTCTTTTATCATTTTTGTATTATTGATGAATAACTATATTATTTGCTATATATTTTTTCATTTTGCTTATATCATGAAGTTGTTTAATTTTTATTACAATAACTACTTCTGTTTATTCTTAAATAGGATAGTAGATATGGATATAAGAACAATATTAACCATGTATGATGATGATGATAAGGAGGAAATTATTGTATTGATCGCAGCCGTATATGAGTACTATCATAAACATTTTGATAAGCAACGTTGTAGGGATTCCATGTTACAAAAGGAAGATTACGTATTCGGGATTTTAAATGGACATGAAGATAAGTGTTATGAAAATTTTCGGATGTACCCTAATACCTTTAGGGCTTTGTGTCGTGAGCTGAAATTGTTAGGATTGAAAGATTCAACATTTGTAACAGTAAAAGAACAAGTTGCAATTTTCCTACTTACCGTGTCTTACAATGAAAGGAATCGTGTCGTTGCTGAAAGATTCCAACACTCTACATCCACAATTTTATATCACTTTTATTCTGTGTTAAAGTTAATTTGTGAGTTAGGGACTAAGATTATTGTTCCCCCGGATTTGAATGAAATTCCTAAACAGATAAAGAACAATCCAAAGTTTTACCCATACTTTAAGAATTGTATAGGAGCCATAGATGGTACTCATATCCATGCTGTAGTGCCAGTTGGACAACAAATACCCTTTCGTGATAGAAAGGGTGATACGACCCAAAATGTCATGGCCGTGTGTTCTTTTGATATGAAATTCATATACATTCTAGCAGGGTGGGAAGGGTCTACTAATGATTCGAAGATTTTAAATGAGTGCATTCAGAATGAGGTTTCAATTTTCCATCACCACCCGAAGGTAAGAAAATTACCTTTCTATATTTATGCATTTAACATTAAAAATACATTAATTTTAATCCTTAACATAACAGGTAAGTTTTATTTAGTGGACTCTGGGTACGCCAATCAACCAGGGTTTTTGGCCCCTTTTTGGGGTCAACGTTACCACATTCAGGAATATCGTAGACATACTAGAAGACCACGTGATAGAGAAGAGGTGTACAATTTTAGGCACTCAAGATTTAGGAATATCATAGAGCGATGTTTTGGGTTGGTAAAGATTAAATTCGCTATATTGAAGCAAATGCCCCCTTGTCACTTTGACACTCTAAGTTCTTATTGTCATTGCCTGTTGTACATTGCATAATTTCATAAGATCCCAAGGTGAATATGATGAAATTTTTTATTGTGAAACCCCTGAATCTTCACAAAATGAACCTGATGTGGATGACATTGTTGAGGTCGTCAGTGCTACTAATACACAGATGCGACAGATGGATATTTAGCGTGATCGTATTGCCAACCTAATTTGGGAGGACTGTAATCACTAATTATAATAGTGTGTAATAGTGTGTAGGATTTTAATATGGATAACTGTAATAACTAATTATATTACGTAAATTAAACTCACATGCATACAATATGGATAACTGTAATAACTAATTATATTATGACATCAAATATTAAATGCTTTAGTACTTGCAGGGGGACTTATGTATAGGCTTGAAGTTAAGCGACCACAACGTCCAGCTTGGGAGGTATGGCTTTAATCTTTTAGATGTTATTTCTGTTACTGTTTCCTAATTGTATAATTTATATTTCTTGTAATCACATATGAATGCATTTATGTGGGTGGATGAGTTGCACCAAGGTGCACAAGTTGAAGAACAGGTTCAATCTGACTTGGATAGAGTCATTGCAATGATTCAAAATGAACAATGTAGACAAAAGTACATGCTCTTCCTAGGTTGTGGATGTCTTACTATCACAATCATGTTTACTGTGATTGTCTTCTTCTTACTCATTATCGCTGTTATTAAAAGATGAAATTAGATAAACTTCCATGTTTTATAATATATGACATGTAATAGGTATTTAGTTAATTTTCTGTGTTTCATTTGGTATGTAATATATACTTAATTTTCTATATTTGGATGACCTTGCTGCTGAGAACTATAAATGCTATATTTTGAACTGCATATTAAATGGTATAAATGTGTTTAGTGTTGCATGAGATTATATACGCTCCAAATTTGCAACTTAGCCTGAAAAAATGTTACATATATCTTGCTTAGTACTTCTAATTCTTTCATTCCTACCATGTGTTACTTTGTTTTTCTCTAATGTTGTTCATGTGTTTGGTTTTGCATGAGGTCATTTACACTCCAAATTTGCAACTTAGCCTGAAAAAATGTTAGATATATCTTGCTTCTACTTCTAATTATTTCATTCCTACCATGTGTTATTTTATTTTTCTCTAATGTTGTTCATGTGTTTGGTTTTGCATGAGGTCATTTACACTCCAAATTTGCAACTTAGCCTGAAAAAAGGTTAGATATATCTTGCTTCTACTTCTTATTACTTCATTCCTACCATGTGTTATTTTATTTTTCTCTAATGTTGTTCACGTGTTTGGTTTTGCATGAGGTCATTTACACTCCAAATTTGCAACTTAGCCTGAAAAAAGGTTAGATATATCTTGCTTCTACTTCTTATTACTTCATTCCTACCATGTGTTATTTTGTTTTTCTCTAATGTTGTTCATGTGTTTGGTTTTGCATAAGATCATTTACACTCCAAATTTGCAACGTAACTTAGCCTGAAAAAAGGTTAGATATATCTTGCTTACATTTTGGTGTAGTTTAGAAGGAGGACGGGCAATTTTACTTGGATTTGTGGAATAATTTTGTGGGCGGTGTCCCTTATTGAATTGATTGAATGAATTTTGTGGACGGTGTCCCTTGTTGAATTGATTTAATGAATTTTGTGGGCGGTGTCCCTTGTGTTTATTGTGTTTTGAAATTTTGGAAATGTCCATTTTTAAGGAGAAACCATACCGGATTTTTGAAAAAAAAATAATAATAACAATAATTTAAACTTTGATTCGAAAAAGGCATGTGGTTGATTTTTTAAACTTGAAATGGATTTTTGAAATATATAACAATAGAAAAACTGTGAAATATATAACTATGAAATATGTAACAATTTTTTGAACCTATGATTAGTGACAATTTTTTATTGATTTTCGTGGTGGAGTTGAATAAAGTTCTCTGTGTTGTTTCAAGGCTTAGTAGAATGAAGCCTTTCATGGGAAAACCTAACGATGCTTTATATTTTGCTATTATAGGTAATGTCTTGCCTTAGATTAAAATTCATTTTTTTCTTTTTTCTTAATGCTTCCTTATATCCTTTCTTGATGAATCATAAACTATTGTCAACCTAAAACCATATAATCCATATATGCTCTTGGAAGAACTGGCACTACATTGAAGGACATGGCAGTAAGTTGTGGGCAGTGGCACCAGTGGGATTTATAGGAAGCATTTTCCAGTTGCTGCAACTCCAGAAAGCTAGTGATCTCTAAGTTAAACAAATGGAGGCCTATGCAAGTATAAAGAAGTGTGTGTACATTTTATGTAATGAATTTTAACGATCTCCAGTTGTGTGTACATTTTATGCAAGTATAATAAACTGTGTGTGTACACACATATTAATTTTAAGGAATGTCTAGCTCCCTATATGTGAATGGTACAACAACAATTTATTAATATGACGATGAACAAAGCCAAACTTGTGGTTCGCTGTATTATTTATGATTGATTAAAATCCTACAAAATATTTTCAAGTACTTGTTTGGATGGCAATAATTTTTCTAGCAGGTTGTTTAATGGCATGCCTCACTTTTTATTTTTTTATTTTTGTCGAGGTGATTTATTGTTCAGTCTTGTAAGAGATGGATCTTCCTTTATTGTTTGTTTTTAATCTTTCTTCCTATTTATCAATTCTGTTTATGGTTGGAGATTGTATGAAATATTCAGAAGTTGGTTATCAAAATAAATACTCAAGAAAAGGGGAAATGGTCTCATGAGTTAACAATAAAAATATTAGCAATTTTAAGGATCTCCAACAGAAAATTTCAAACTAATCTCAGTGAAGTAAAACCATTCACAAGCTTTAATGTCCACCAAACCTCAACTCTGACCAATTTAAGAAGATCAACGTTTTGGCTTTACTTTTTGTTAGTTTCAACTACAAAGATCTCTCATTCTCTCTCATTCATAATGAATTTATAATATATATATATATATACGAAACAAAACAAAGTTAAATGGAGTGCAAGCCAAAAGAAAAAATAAATGGAGTGCAAAGATCTACTCTCATTGAAAGATTATTACAAAATTAAGATCTGTAGTTTGGTTGCTTTTAATCATGTTTATGCCTCATAAACATCCCACATGATCTTATTTATACATGTAAATTTATTCATAATTTTTTTTCCCAACTCTTTAATGTAGAATATATGCATATATTTTTTTTTATTTTAACAAATTATCTCAAATCAAGAAGAAAAATGGACTATTATATGTGAACTTATAATTGTATTCATATATATAATTATTCAAAACAAAAGTAAAATAGTCTTTACCAAACAGATATTCTGTTATTGATTCAGAATTTTTGAAAACAAAACTAACTTCCCAAACGTATTTTGTTTTCGGATTCCTTAAAACGCATGACATTACCAAACGCGTTTTGTTTTCGGATTCCTTAAAACGCATGACATTACCAAACGCGTTTTCATGTTTTTGATATACAATTATCAAAAACAAAACAGTCATTATCAAATATGGATCCGATTTCTACTAAAAACATACCAATACCAAAACGGTTGTTTTCATATCATACCAAACCATAACATATAACGTTATCGCGATCCAAACGGGCCCTTAGTAACAGTGTTTTTAAAACAACTGCCAAAGGCAACTCAGTTAGCCTGGACTAAATTGGATTGCCAATACAATTAACTATCCAACTTCCTAGTCACTGAGGTAACTTGACGCAAATATTCCTTACAAACTTACAACAACATGGTACTATCCATACACAAAATGGAGCATTTCTCCCAACTCGACCCACAAGCCACATTCACTTTCACTCTTCTGTGCTTGTTGAGGGATCTGAACGCCTTCTCTTGGCCTCATTGTCTCCCAATTGCAAAGATATATCCTCATCGGAACCACGGCACAATGGAGAGAGAGTTTCGGACACCACCCTATCCCGTCGGTTTTGGTGTTGGGGCGAGCGGTTGATGAAGTTCGGGATAAACTGATGTTCAACACTTGGACCCATCGTGACCCCATCAAACTCGGTCTCAATAGGCGAGGAGTTCATATCTAGGCCTCCAGCTCCATCATCCAAAGGGATATGCTGGATGTGAAGACCAAGAGGCTCCACTTTGTCCTTTGGGAGCACAACATCAGGGGGTGAAGAATCACCAACTGTAGAGCCAACAGCTGTTGCTGAAGCGGCTCTCTGTTCCTGCACTGCCACTGTACATAACAACAACATACACCCTTAAAATCAGTATAATATCTCAGATGAGTAAAAAGAAAAACAATGTAAAGTGAATATTAGTTGATCATTGACCAGATCTACATTTACTATTATACTTGTATAAGGTCCCCATGTGATTAGTTGATCATTTTACCAGATCTACATTTACCACACTTCTATAATACCCATGTGCTTGCTTTTCATTTATCCAAGTTATACATATTTTCTCCATTTTTAGTACCCAAGCTTATACCGAGCTGGTAAAAAACCCAAATTAGTAAATTACAAAATCACTTTATATTTTTTCTGGCATGGTGACACCGACTTCTTTTTATCTACAATAGTCAGAAAAATTAATTCTATAGTCACATCTCTGTCTCTTAAAACAACTAAAGTACTGAAATAATAAAAATCTTCACAATATGGACAAGGTATTATGAATATTTATACTGCTAAGGAAACCAAGTATATATTGTTCATGCTTGGAGCAAAGGGGAAGAAATGTAAAACCGAATTATTATACTAAAACATCAGGTAATTAGAGAACAAAACATTTAAGTTAAAGTAAAGAACCTTTAAGAGCTTCGCAAGATGTGATGAGATCAAGTTCAAGGAGATTGAGCAGGCGCCCAAGATCAACTCCACTAGTCCAATTCTCAGGAGGTTGGCCGACTTTCAACTTAAGTCGGCCCCTGTTAGCAGTTCCACCCCATATGATCCCAATTGGCCTTGGCTTCTCCCCATTTTCGCCCTTTAATATGATGAGGCTCCCACTGTCTCCTTCAAGATCAAATGTCTGTTGGTTCTCACCGACGACAAGAAAATCAGTTAAAAAACATATTCCTTTCTCGTCATTATATTCAAGGGCATAAGCCAATATAGTCCCAGTTGTCAATCCAGAACTTCTTCCAACCTTCGTCACTTGCTTTCCGATTAGGCTATGGATTGGAGACTGCAAATCTATGATTTTAACATCTCCAATCTCTCCTACACCTTTCACAGATGTAGTTACAGTGGACATGTCAAAATCATCGGAGAAAGGGATGAATGCCCCATCTGCCCTCACAAATGTCTCTGCATGTGAACAAATTTTTATGAACATGACTGGGGGTCAGAAAATAATTAACACAAAACATTTAAATCCCCATTTATAAAAAGCCATTTTATTTACCAGCAGAGAACATAAAGCAAGTAAAAGGTAAAACTTGGTTAGAACATTCAAAAACTCTACTCAGAAGATCAAAAAGTATACAGTACTTATAATTAAGAAGTTAAGTACGAAAAAGAGGTTCGTAGGTGTGAGACATTACTTTGGCATCTGATCCAATCCTGTGTGTTACATTTGCTGCACAAATATATTGTCAGGCAATAATATTACAGTACGTATGACAACAACATGGATCAAAAGCAAAAAGGGTATCCACTGCCCATCCATGTTCAAAGGCCATGCTCCTTATAACATCGACTAGAATTGGGTCGACCAGGGTTGGAAAACTCTGGTTAAAATTTTGATAGGATTGCTGTTTTATAAAATTCACTCAGGTACTTGTAACTGCACCAGAAAATATTGATGATTTTGATACTCCGATAATCAGGGTAGATATAACTTGAATTATGAACCCGGTTTAGTTGGAGTTATGGGTCCAAGAATGGTTGGGCTATGATTGGAACTAACTCGACAGATAATGCCCCATTGCTAATTTGCCATCCTTAAACTTCCCCTGTAACAACTTTTGAAGTTGTTTTAGCAATAGTTTTCTTGACATGGCTAAGTGAAGCTGTGATGATCAATCATTTCAAGACCAAGTTCAAACCATTGTACATAGGTTTTGTGAGCACCCTTGGACCTCTTGGTGTAAATTGACATCTGTAATAAAAAGCTAAATTGTTTGCATTAATCTGACCCATTTTTTGGAACCTTCTTACCTGGGTTTATGCCAGCAAAGATGCCATACCACAGGTCATCTGTGATGAATGAAGTAGCTCGCTCAACTGCACCAAGATATACCCCAGGTCCAAGGTTTGGTGGCAAAGGATGAAACATTTTCTGATTTGGATAATCCAGATCAACTGCAACATGCCTGTTTGTGAGGAAACCAACTTGTCGACTGCCTGTTTGGCTCTTCACAATGGCACCCAAAGTTCCATAAGTCTCTTGACTTGCAACCTGAACACAAGCAATAGAACTTGGTGCAATTATCAAATAAATACATCAAAATTGGAAGCATAACGACCTCAACTAAGAGTATTACTTTGACAGAGAGAGAGAGAGAGAACTGAAAAAATGATATTATAAAAGAACTAAATAGAAGATTTAACTAATGATATACCATAATAGATTTTACTTATCAAAAAAAAAAAAAAAAAGATACCATACTAGTTTTACCAATAGGCTTTCTCTGTGAATTTATACAACAAACAAAGTCTCACATGAATCCTATTTTTCTATGCTACTCTATCTATGGTGTAGACTCAATCAAATCACATGTTATCATATCTTCCTTTACTATTTCTACTCCTATTGATTTTGATCTTCTCATTCTCCTAGTATCACCCTCAGCGTAGACCATGTCACTCTTTCTTATTAGTGCACTTAGTTATCTTCTTTGCACAAGTCCAAACCACGTTAATCGATTTTCTCACTTTATATCCAATGAGAACTATTTCAACCATCTCACGAATGTGCTCATTTCTAATTATATCCTTTCACGATCAATTTGTTCATATGTTGTTTCTTAGGTGGCCAATAGTTGTTTTATACAACTTCCCTTTCAATCTTAGAAGGATACACCAATTACACAATATTCCAAATGCATTCCTTAATTTAATCAATCTTTCCCTTTTAAAATTCTCATGCTTCCTCAGGAGGGTCTCTGCGTAGAGCAGACAATTCAATCGACTTGATACCAAGCAAAAGTAGAAAAATACCAACAAAGGCTCACATTTAACTACGTGACATTGGCTACATGAATCCTAATGGAAATCTTGATCTACTAAGGCCATGTCTTCATACTAAAAACTGGCCATCATCTCCTCTCACTACCTCAACTAACATTGTTAATGGCCATACTCTTGTTCTTGAAGCTCCTTTTTGCAAAATTGTTAGTAGTCATCACACGTAAACCATCTTAAATGGCATTCCATCATGAGCCTTTTTTCCAGTACTACCTCTACTGTCTCATGGAGGCATTCATTGTTAATTATACTCCTTGTTTGATCGCTTATTTATCCCAAGATCCTAATTTTTTAGCAATGCTCCTATTACCATGCGATTTATTGACAGTCTAGCTTGTAACATTAAATATAACTGACCTCAATCTTTTAACAATATTCCCTTTAACATTATCGGTGTTCAGCAAACACAGGCCACCGTAAAGGCATATTCCATTTCGTCCATCTTGATGTGAACTATTGGCAAAATCCTCATCTCAATCTTTCTAGTAAATTCCTTTAACTTTACTGGTATTTAACAAACACATACCACCTTAAAGGCACATTCCACTTCGTCCATCTTGCTGTGACTCTATGGGCAAAATCTTCATCAATCCTAAGTTTGATGGCAAGCATGAGCTGATGAACTCTATCGATGAGAGGCTATCCATAACTAGTTTCTTTCTGGTGATAATGTAGTACATAGAAACCTAGTGCCTTTTGGTGGTAAATCATAGAGGTGCCAGGAAAAACTTTTTGACATTTCAAAGCAAGTAGTGAGAGAAACCAAATTCAGTATTCTATATGCGAAGATTGCTTCAAAAAATTAATCCTTGGAAAATCAAATTAAATTCAATCAAGTCGAGAAAGGTGAGTAATACCTCACTAATCTTAGGCAATAATTATCATTACTCATAATTTAATTTATCAAAATAAATTGTGCAGAGATAAAAACACACACATTCCCATAAATTAACAAAATAAACCAGGGAGGCTGCAAGAGAACTTCAGAATACCTGAGACCCTGAACCAATACATACACCACTCCCACGCAGGTCGTCCACAATCTCTGTGTACAACTGTTCCTTGGGAGTTGGCTCAGGTGCACCAAAATACGAGAATTCCACCACATCTACATCGCACCACACACCTCCTGGTCCCTGTGCAGATGTAAAAGCCATTTCAACTTCACAAAGCATAACAAAAGAAGATTCAAACGGAACAACAATCAAGATGCTACCCACCTCTTCGTCCCCCTTCCCACAGAGGGTAAAAAAAAAAAAAAAAGAAAGAAAGAAAAAACAAAACAAAAAAAAAAAAACCACTTCATCTAATAATGATTCAAAGTTTATTTACTTTCAAATCCCTCCCAAGTCCCACAAAGCAAAGAAAAAAACAAAAGGAAGAGAAGATAAATATATTACACTCTTTCCTCACCTCTAGGGCAGTGGGGAGACACTGAATGGGGCTGAGCCACTGCTTGTGAACTTTGCGGGAAACAAAAACTAGAATAGCTGGTATATCTGTCAAAACACCCCGTCGTATACGAAACCCAATTGCCGTTCCAAGACTATAACATCGCAAGATTTTACTATGAAATGCCCTAATAGTCATTAGCTCAAGCAAGGTGGCGGCTTGTTGTCCTTTCGGTAACCGACCAAGAGTTTCAGGTAGCACCCCTTTCTGTAGGTTAGCAAAATAGTTTGCCCTCTCTTCGGCAGCATCATTTAATCGGCTGGAGGTAGGCCATGAAAAGTAAGCAGCATTGCTCTCGGAGTGTTGTCCAGCTGATGCATATGGTTGAAGAGTTGGCGGACTTAACGAAGGCAGATTAGGATGACTACAACAGTTTTTTTCAAGATCCAAAGCCGATTCATCTGATGGTGTTGAGCCAGAGCAACGAATCCTCAAATTCAGCCTTGCCTGCTCCATTTTTCCCTCTACCGGGCAGTAATTTAATTTGTTAGTAATGGTTCATATACTCCAAGAACAATCACAAAAATATTTCAAAAGAAAAACAATTACACTTTTCTTGGGGTCTTGTTTCTTTTCTTAATTCCATTTTAACCATCAAAAAACAGATAATAGGAGATCCAAATATTATATTTGTAACAACGTTCTTAATAAAAATGAAAATTAATAAATCCATTCTACCTTAAAGGAACAAAATATTTTGGATGCAACGTAAAGCTATAAAATTAAAATTGCAGTAAACAATATATAGTGGAACATTCAATAAATAACAATCCATGTGATTTTTTTATGAAGAAAACTATGAATGGTGAAACCAGAAACAAGGAAATAGGAGGTTGAATATGAATAAGAAAACAGACGTGAGTAATAATGGTAAAAGAAACAAATGTGAGTAGGAAAACAGATGGTATAACTGTCGTAGTTGGGGGAAAAAAAAATGGTCTTACCTTAAAGCTGGAAGAAGAGCTACACTACCCATGACTAGTGAACACGTAAAATTATAGGACCGGTGTATGGAGTCCGTTTATAAACCAAGATGCTTGAACCTCAAAACAGAAATTAAAGAAACAAATGAATGATATACAAATCAACCAAATGCCCCCATGTTCTGCCCATAAACTGGAATTCTGCAACTGCAGAACTTAGACAGCATGTCATTTAACTATGTCCTTTCTTTTAAAGCAATAAGGTATTGACCCGGAAAACAAAAAAAAAAAAAATACATAAACATCATAAATGTGACAAAGTAGGAGCCCGTTTAATTTTTTCCCTAAAATCATAACAAAATATATCATGTAGCAAAAACTAGAAGTAAATGCAGTAATTTCATCAAGTGTGTGATTAAATTTGTCTCATACGATACAACAAGTTGCACATTATAAACGGATATCCATAATCATCATCATCGTTGCCTTTATTCCATATAAATGAGATCGGCCACATAAATTTTCTTTTTCCATTCTTCCCTATTACAAGTCGTGTATTTTATTATATCAGCGCATACCCAAGATAATTCTGATAATTTAATATTATTTATGCAAATCCGGAATTGTTCCAGATGATTTCAAATGATACAAATGCTTCATTCTCATATTCTACATTGCTTAGCTTCATTAAGATTCCTTTATTTTGGCACCCCAAATTATTCACAGAAACTTGCCCTTCTATTGTGAAGTTCCAAATAACTCCAAGCACGAAAATAAAATATAAAACTATTTCAAATCTTACACATTTGTCACTACTCCTAGAACTAGGGTTTCCCCTGGAAATTATTTGAAGAGAAAGCTGGATGTTGTTTTACTCTTCCTCTTGGTAATTCAAAATATAAAGTTAGCATGCAAGTGTTGATAGGTGATGGGTAGTAGCAATACAATCCCCCAATTAAGACTGCAAGGAAACAAGCTTTAAAATCAGAAAATAATAACAAATAACCAAAATATTTATATCTTAAACTGCATAAATCCAAAACAAATTTGAAAAATTCCACAACAGTAAGAACTTTGTAGCAAATTCTACATTTAAAACCATGATAAGAATGCCAAAAATGAAGCACATAGATCTGCAAAAGAAAGTTATGAGGACAACTGTACTTACAAGAAGAAGAAGAAGAAGAAAAAATGCTTGCCAGGAAAGATAACGTTAATCAATTGAATTCGATATCTAAAATTAATCAAAGATTATAAATTTATCACAAAATAAGTATATGAGTGAAGAACATTTACAGATCAAACAGCCCATGACAACAAACAAAAACAAATAAGGTAAGCAGTAAACCATGAAGCAAAAGCATGTAAACTTGCAAACCCAAGACGGAAAAGCAACAAATTCAGGCATAGAGATGTCAATAAATCAAAAAGGCACTCACTGATCAACAAAAGCAGAGAGAGTAATGAAGAGAGGTATGAAATTACGAACCCCACTCCTTTCAAGCGTTTTCATGCCCTAACAAAGCTTATCCAACATTGCCCACCTGTCGAATTTGAGCAACACATGTCATAAAAGCCAAATATTAAGTACTGCATGCATGAAGGAGGAAAGATTAGGACTACGTGGACTGTGTGCTAAGCTTAATGAAGGGATACCAATATGAAATTACACACAGAACGGAGCCACATTGGTCAAGGGGAAGCGTGCCCCCCGGGGCCCAATGTGGCTACTTAATATATATACATATTTTTACTTATTGTATCTAATTTTTTATTAAAAAATATATATAAAATGTTAACACCCCCCCCCCCCCCCCCCCCCCCCCCCCCCAAAAAACAAAATTCTCCATTTCTAAAGCTGCCCTTGAGCCTAATGTGGCTCTTCAATATATATATAGAGAGAGAGAGATTTTAGTGTATGTAATTTTCTGAAATTTTACAAAATTGTCCCTATAAAATTCTCTCATTCTAAAAATTTCTCTAACTGTTTCTTCTTTTCTCTTTTACTTTTTTTGGTTTTTCAAGTTTCTTTGACCCCTTCAACAATATATATATATATATATTTTTTTTGCATTCACTTTCTTCAATCAAACCCTAATCCTCCTAAACAAAGTTCTTTCATTTAAATTTTCTTCTTCCCCCTTTATTTTTTTTCTTTTCTTAATTTTTTTTTATTCTTGCACTCATATATGACGTCCGTGCAAAAACCTTTCTCTCTCTCTCTCTTGTTCTTTAAATTTCATAGCAATTTTATGAACTTAATGTTCATATTTAAAAAAAAAAATTAATAATGAAAAAATACTTGAATCTTCATTATTGAAATTCTATTTCTAGTCTTGTTTTGTTGCACTTTTAATTGGAAAAAAATTAAAATAAAAATCTTTGATCACTCCCCCCCTCCCAAAAAAAAAAGATAAAATCAGTTAGTTTTCTGTGATATTATGGATGTAAATGCAACCACAGTATATTCATAAATAAAGAGGTATAATTAGATCAAATACAGACTTCATTTCATGACACACACAATCAAGCATTGTCATCATATTCAAACCCTCCACATCACTCATTTTCCAAAGAACAATCAGGTGAGCATCAATAACAGATCAGAAAAAACAACATATTTTAGTTAAAATGAAAAAATAAATATAAGAACTATCAAGTCAAGCATGTATAGAGAGCCGTGTGTGTGTGTATATACATATATATATATTACATCCGTATGTGTGTTATACATATACATCAGTCGCTTACACTAAGTTAAAATTAGTCCAAAGTGTAATTGAAACTTAATTAGTAGTCCCGATCACAAAGAAAATAAAGAGTAAAATATTAAAGCCCTAATCCTAAATTGAGTGGAAAAGGATAGAGGAAGAAAAGGCATGACAAGCCCTATAACTTGAAATACCTAAAATAATGCATACATGTTTGTAGATGGGGAGACGCCGGTCGCCGGATTTCCATCTTCTTCTTTTTCTCTCTGTGCGATTCTGCGTCGATGGGTGTGCCGACCGAGTGTATCGAGTTGGACCCTTAAGCTTTTTGTTTTATTTTCTTTTAACCTATAAAGTTTTTCTTTTATTACGATCAGACCTTATTTTTAAAAATCTTTACAAATTTAGCCGCATCCATTCGTTTTCCAAAAATGTCCACAATCGTATTCAATTTGAAAAAAACAATAATAATAATAATAATAATAATAATAATAATAATAATTTTAAGTATTTTCTCATCATGCATTCAAGCATAATCACGTGGAATACGTGTTTACGGGACAACGATTTTGTTCTTTCGGAGATTGGAATTTTCACCATCCACTTTGATAAATAAAGAATATATCACTAGGCATCCACTTTGATAAATAGATAACATATTACTAGGTCACACAATCATTCTCAATAGGTGTTGTTCTCACGCTCCCGATCTCGTTCTCGCTTTCGCTCCCGCTTTATATGACTTAGGGTACAATGCCTTGGCATGTGATTATTATATTCTTGTGCAAGGTTCATGTAACAAAATTTGGACATCCAATAACTTCATAGCTTTTAAGATGTGTCTGGTTTAACTCCTAACGATCTGAGTTCAATCACAGCAAAAAGCATTTCTATTACAACTAATCAATCCATTTTTGTTACATTAATTATGTTTCGTCATTCTATCAATCTATTTTATTGCATCTTGATTTAAGTTAAGTTTTTACTTATTTGAATTTGAATCACTTGTTGAGCAAGAAGGCTTTAGGAATGTAATGATGTGGAGTGGAATGTTTGGCCCAAGTGGCTTCTAGACGCTGTTCTCTTCGACTGTATTTCTCTTTCTTCTTAATGTTATGGTTCTGTTTGCGAAAATAAATAAATAAATTTGAATGAATTTAATAAAGCTGTATATGATGACACGCCCTTATTTATTTGCGCGTCACCAAAATATTTTAATTGATAATTCTTTCAATTTCTATTCCAGGTATCTGTAAGACTTTGATTAGAATTAATTCAATTGTTTGTGAATGTAAGCATCTGCATTAAGATGCTGGAAATGTTGATCAAGACAAGATGAAAGTTTTGAGTTTGATTCTCCTCCCATAAACTTATCTCCGCAGAGTTCGTTTAAATTTTTTTTTGTTTGTTCTAGCAATGTTAAGGCGTGTTTGATAACTTTATGTCCTTCCCAAAATAACAATAATGATCTCTTGCACATCTGGTGAGTAATAAATTTATCCACTATAAATAACCATTCATCACTGTTCTTTTACACTTGAATCATATTTGATTATGCTTGGTGTGCTTGCTTATTAGTGTGCGAGAAATTATTTTTACACAAAATAATACTCAAAATAGAATTAAAATACTTTAGTTGTTTCATGGTATTTTGCGAGAACTGTGATGCTTTTAAGATGAGTTAGCCTTGAGATGTAGCACCGCTTTATCTAAACACACTTAATTATTTGGTTTAATAGCATAAAATCCTCTAAACTATGAAAAATGTATATATGATAGTTCTTATGCTAAATTTAAATACATTTAACGTATAACAAATAAGTTATTGTTATGTTTGCATAGAACTTGATGTGTGTTTTATTCAATGATAAACCACTTGTAATAAAACGAATCATTATATGATAGAACTATATAGAGGGGGCCGAATCTCAAGAACCATGTTGAAATTGTTAAGTATAAAATTACTTTTGATTTTGATTCAAGAGAAATTTTGATTTGTTGTTTGCTATTTTTACTTGCAAGGAATGTAAAAAATTAAACTAAGTTATGAGATAGTATGTGTCAAGAGAAGACTTAGGGATTGACTTCACCACTAACTTCATAACATAGTCAGATGTAGTAATTTATAGGGAAATTCATATTTAAGTATATTCGGGAATCAAGTAGCTAAACACTTACTCCAATTCAATTAGAAAGATGTATATGAACAAACACTAAGCATAATTCATTTTTTGTTGGCACGAATTGTCTACCTAATTACTTTAATATACGGTGCGGTACAACTCGTCTTCCCTAGGCATGAATTATGAAACTACTCAGTCATATATTTGTGAAGCACAATTGCATGATCACTACTCTTATGATCATATAAAATAAGAGAAGTTTGAATTCGATATAAACAAAGTCAATTTTAAGACATGATAAAGATTTCATTAAAACTAATTATAATCATTAAATCCCAATTGCTTAGTACAATTAAGTTAATTGCTATTAACCATGCAATCAATATACATAATCCATAAAAGATCCCAAAAAAATAAGAACAATTAAACCGTATTACTTGGCTAGGGAAGGAATTTAAATACTCATTAAGAAATAAGAAATCTTCAATGATGTGATAAACGTCATCTCTATGGACTGCAATTTTCGATCGCAACCACATTCTTCAACCTTTAGGCTATGTTTGGTACGGTGGGTTTGAAGGGGGAGGATAAGATTAGTTATGAGGGAAATGAAAAGGAAGGGAAGGGAAGGATAATTTTAACCATCCATTGTGCTTGGTTGGTTAATGAAGGAAAAGAAAGGAAAGGATAATAATTATGTTTGGGAAAAAAAGGAAAGGGAATGATAATAATAAATTTACTATTATACCCTTATTATATTTTAAAATATATATATATATATATATATATATATATATATATACATATATAATCTCTTATATTTTGCTAAAAAAAAAAAAAAGAAGAAGAAGAAGAAGAAGAAGAAGATTAGGGCAAATCATTTCAACCTCCATTTATAATCTCGTTCTCAAAGCACCTCCATCTCTAATCTCGTTCTCAAATCTGAACTTGCCTTCTCTCTTCTCCCCCCCCTCTCTCTCTCTCAAATCAAAACCCACATCTTTTAGTTTCCATCGCTGTTCCAGTTCGGGTTCGCCGTCCACCTCAAAAAATCAAAACCCACATCTTTCAGTTTCCATCGCTGTTCCAGTTCGGGTTCGCCGTCCGCCGTTTGCAAGCTTCCCGAGCTGAATACATGCCCAATATCAAGTGCAATTTTGAGGGTAAAAGTGGCATGACAAATATTATATGAGCCATTACCCGCCATTGCCTTCCCTTTCCATCCTTATCCTCCCATTTTTTGAAGGTTAAAGAAATTACTGTACATTTTTGTTATGAAGAACCCCTCCAAACCCATCCCTCTCTTTCCCTTTACCTCCACTCACCTTACCCAAACACAATTTTTTTATAACCCTCCATTACCTTCCCTTCCCTTTCCCTTCAAACCCACTCTACCAAACTGAGCCTTAGAACTTAGCAACAATGGAGAGAAGCCCTTAGTCACCAATCTCTCCCTCTCTAGAACTTGTCTAACTTCCTTATAATTGTGGTAATCATATCCTAAATTAACTCTAGAATGGGCCCTAAATGTTGGCCATAAGCTTTTGCTGAACTCTGGCTCGTGTTTGGAAATGAGAGATAAAAACATGCAAATCCTGCAACTATCAGGATTGATTGTAACCTTGACAAATATATATTAAGCTCGTATCATTTGTATTAAATTTGTTGGAGTGAGTAGGATCGATCATAGAGGAGCTAGGATAATGGATATCATCTTTTCATCCTTTTAAGCCCGTAATCGTCCCCAAACATGTCAATGCTCCTTCAGGTCATAGGAAACACCATTAAAGGCTTGAAATAGGCATAATTGACTGGTTTTGACAATGAACACCTAAAAACATCCGAAACCAAGTAATTATCATAAGTATCAATATTTAAAAGCATTACTAAAGTGCTAACATAAGCAACTTTAAGGGCTTGAATGTGCAACATTCAACACTTATTAAAATTGGTATTTAGAATTGAAGAAAATTTAATTCAAACTAATAAACATAACACATGTTAATTTTTATCTATTTCATTGTATTTGTAAGTTTATACCAGTTTTTATGTTTCGTTGGATTGTAAGAAAAAAAAAAGTTAGATGGAAGGGGATAAGATGGGAGGGATGAAACTTTCAAGCAAATAGTCATTCCCTCTTTTTGTTTGATTGGATAAAAAATAAGATAAAAAACTGACAACTTACTATGTTGGTTAAGAGGGAAGGGAATGGAGAGCTTTAAATTGATTTTACTATTATACTCATTACTTTTCTATAAACTTGTAATTTATGAATGATAATATTAGAATTCAAAACTTGTATAATAGTTGTATTTATCTCCCATCTTCTCAATATTTAGAGATATGACAATTTGTGAAGGGGAAGCGATCAATCATCCCCTTCACCCATCTTTCTTCATTCGTACCAAGACATTATTATTATTTTTTAACTGCCCTCTGTAATGAGAAACTTATCATAGAAATTTAACATAATTTTATGGTCAGTTATCTAGCTAACCAATTCGGCTTTTCTTTTGCATTCATCTTGGTATTGATAGTGAAATTGTCAAACTACTGATTATTTATAGCGATAATATTATAGCTATTTCAATTTAATTCAACAATTAAGTCAAAATGTGCCTGATAAAAAAAAAAATTCAAATTTCAAGTGAATATAACTTTTTTTAAGTTCTATCCGATAACATTAATATTGGAGTATTATAATTGAAATTGAAAAAATTTTAATTAAAAAATATTGAATATGATCGGTGATGGTATGTTTTAAGTTTTTGCTTAAGTTATTTTTATTGAACTGCACCATTTACCCTTAAAAAAAAAAATTCCAAAATTTCAATTAAAACATTAATTTTTCAGCACATAGGCTACTGAGGTGTTTTTTGCAATCCCTTGCTCTCGAAAATATAAACGCATCATTGAGAGATTTATGAGAAAGTTGTTTGCAATAAAAGATGGAGGTAACATAAAGTATTATGCGTATATTATTATTATTTTTTCCTTTTCCTTTTTTTAATCGGACTTAAGTAGATATAGTTACACCCAAAACGTTGGTCCCCATTGGTACAGTATTTTTTTATTTCAGAAAGCCGCATGTTTACAATTTTATAAAATTATTTTCTAAAGGGTTAGTTAAAAAGAAAAAAAAATTTGTTGTTAGAGAACTGTTTTTATAATTTTCTATTTTATGAATTTTTAAAAAATTATTTACAAAAAATTAAACTAAACTAACCAAATTATTTATATTATGAGAAAACTAGAATTTCAGTACAAAAGTTCAGTTTGATCAAGTTTTATGAAAACTCATTTATAGAAAGATTTATTTTCAGTGTTCTAAAAATAATTTTATATATTTTTAATTTTCAAGAACTATTTTGAAAAAAGTGAATTAAACAAACCCTTATTTTCTTATTAATTTTTTTTTAATGTAAATATTGGCTTCTTTACGTTTTTTATTTTTATTTTTATTATTATTTATATTTTGATTTGGTTGATTCCACAATTAACTTATACGTGTCATGTTAGTTCAAAATTAGGGATGCACACAGTCTGGTTTGAACCAGATTGGAAGTTTTTTTTGGACCAAACCATTTATAATGGTTCTACTATTGTTGAAATCAAACCGAACAATAATGTTCATGAAATCAAACCAAACTAAACCGCGAAAAACTGGTCTAGTTTGGTTTGTCGGTTTCAGTTAAATTTTTTTATTTTATTTTATTTTTTAAAAACAAAATTTCTTATTTTTCCCTATATATAATACATCAACCGAAACTGACAGTATAGACTTAATTTATAAAACAACAAACAAATTCAGTAAATCCAGTAGACTAAGTTAACCAACATAAAAAAATATAACATGCCAACAACAATCCATACATAATTCAGGAAACTATCCAAAAACAAATTGTTTAACAATTAAAAATCTTGGAAGAACAAAAGTAAATGCCCAAGCTCCAAGCCAGCATAATGACATTTCCTCAATCCAATGATTAAAAGTTCACCGAAAAGTAAAAAGAATTTAGTTAATCATTGATGGAGGGCAATGGGTTTGTGGTGATGGAGATCGTGAGAATGTCCAAGGGATTTAAGGTTTCATGGCAACGGTTAAATTGTGGGAACTTTACTTAGATAGAGAAATTATGTGAGGCGTGGAAACTTTATTTAATTTAGGTTTAGGGTACGGTACAGTGATATACACACACATATATATAATATAATATAAGTTATATAATATATATTATATTATATAGTAACGGTTCGAATCAGGCCAGTCCGATTTAACAGGACCCTAAATCAGGACCGAACCGAAAAATTACGATTTCATAATTTTGGGCCCAGGATCAGACCAAACCGCTATACAATTAGTCCAAACTGTCCGGTTCAGTCCGATCCGATCTAATTTTTCGGTTTATCGAATTTTTTGAACACCTCTAAGTTCAATAAGTAAAGTAATTATGTCAAAAAAAAAAAGAAACAAAAAAGAAAAGAAGGTAAAGTAATTTATGCAAATGGATAAACCTTGATAATGTATACAGTATATTATTTCGTGTTACCGTGCATAATTCACAAAAAAAAAAATATATAAAAAATTTAGAATTTTGTTTGAGGAATGTGGAATTTTGCTCAGTGGCTTGAAAAAAGAAAGATCACACCTTTAGAAGCATGATCAAATATAACATGTGGTCATGATCACCAGACATGGTATATACCTTCATTCTAAATATTCTTACATTGATATCAATATAATAAGTCCTAAAATGATATATATATATATAAAGGAAATTAATCTATCATGTGGAGCCCACATGATTGATTTTTATTTTCTTTACTTTCATCGACTTCTTTTGGTTACATTGTTCCTGTCGTTTTTAGCTGCACAAAGTATCATCTTTTATAAAAATAATGTAATAATTTATGATAACTAATAATTTCCTATTTATCTTTCAATATTCTGATATGCTAATTCTTATTCTACAATTTTTTCCACTCATACGATAAAACATATATTTTATTTGGCTTTTTCCCCATCTTTGTGAAATAAGACGTAATTTAATAATATATATTTTTTAATCCAATGATATAATCTTAAAAATGCGAATGAATTATATTGTGAATAATGAGTGTGTGTGTTTACTTTAATTTTAAAAGTACAAAATAAAATACAAAATTTAATCACCTAAACAAAATAAAGAGGTCAAAGTTTTCATATTTTTTTTTTCCTTTATGGGAAAGCTAAATGCAATAATACGAATTCCATTTTCCCCTACTAATTCAGAGGTAATTTTAGTTTTAAAAGACTTAAATATTTGTTTAGATCAACTTAACTCAACTCAATAATAAGACAACAAGGTAGCCAAAAGAAGTAAATGAGACTTGAAAAGTAATGAAATGAAAAGAAAGAAAAAACATAGAGTGGACTTCACATGAGTGTATCCAATGGACTAATTATTTGATTTGTTTAATTGATCTATTCTTTAAGCCAATGGGTCATTTTTCTATAATTATTCATGCCAGTAATTTTTTTTATATCTGAAAAAAAAAAGAATTTAACAACATAAAATTGGAACTAAAAAATACAAAATTTAATTTAACAAAATAACATTGGACCACCCTCACCACCTTTTGATTTATGATTGATGTGGATCCACTTCTTTTTTTTCTTTTTTTTTTCCCACTAAGCTTACAACTAATTAGTAGTATTTATTATTATTATTATTTTTTTTTGGGGAAAACACGTATTACAGTAAATTAATATTTTAGATACAGGTCATAGTTACATGCCACACCTTTCTGTCCACATTTTATATAAGATTGTGTGTGTGTATATATATATTTTCTCTATTGGGCATAAAAAGCAAAGCCAACCCAATAAATCACTTAATCCGAGTTAGGTTTTGACGATCTCTGTCTATCATCACCGTCTTCTCTCTCTCTCTTCAAATGAATAGTAGTCGTCATACCTCTTTCTAGGTTCTCTCTCTTCCACCAAAAGATCTCTGTTAAATTTTCTTTTATTTATTTATTTTTTTCTCGTTGAACAAAATCAAATCTCTGCCATGAATTTTCGTACCCAATTCACTGTACAGATCTTCTTTCTTAAGAAACCCTAGGAATTTATTTCTGGGGTTTTCTCGTATACACCCTTTTCTCAATTTTCCTTTTTCTATTTTCGCTATCTAGATTTATATCTTCTTTTGAGTTTGTTTGTTTCTAGGGTTTTGAATTTCTGGGTTTTCTTATTTTAGTGCGAGTGTAGATATGGAAGGATTTGGAGGTGGGAGTAGTATTCAAGAGACTCTCAAGCCTCAGGATCTCAAGCAATTGGGGTCGAATTCCACAGGTTCGCTTAGATATAATATGCTCCTTCTTTACTTTCAGCTTCGGACTTTGCTTCTAATCATGTTCACAAGATCTGGTTCAAGTTGACTTTCAACTTCTGAGCTTTTCTTTTTTCCCCTTTTGTTTGGGTCACACTTATTTTTAATTTCAATTTCACCATCTGCTTGGTTTCTGAGAAAATAGAGGAGAAAATAAACGAAAATACTGGTCCTCATTAGGGTTATTTATTTATTTATTTTTATTGGGATATTAAGAGAATGAGAGAGAGAGTGAGTTAGGTAGTTGCATAGGGCTCAGTTGTCTTCGGTTAAGATATTGAAATGTCTAGGAGCTTTTCTTTTATTTGGACTACTGGTTAATTGATTTTCTAATTGTTGATTGCATTTAATGGTTCCATCTAATATCTTATCATGAACTGTATGGGTTTTTCCCGAGAGTTCTTGAAGATTTGTTTATCTAATTACAAATTCGTGGCAGGCCATTTATTCTTTTAGTGTCTGTATAGGGCGGTTTAGGATCCGGGGAACATTACATGCATCCTGGGTTTCAATTATGTCGACTTAGGTTTCGAGATTGCTGCAGTAAGATATTCAAACAGCTATAGTGTCCCCCCCTCCAGTCAATTCGTGAATATGTATGCTTAGCTTCACTGCATGTGTCTGGATTCCTTGTTATGCACAAAAGACTGATATGCTTTTCATTGACTATCTTAGCATTTGATGGCATCATTCTTTAACGGAATTTTCATGTTATGCAGGAGATGCAGTATTTGATGCATCACAGTATGCGTTTTTCGGCAACGATGTTGTTGAAGAAGTTGAGTTAGGGGGACTAGAAGAAGAAGTGGATGATTTTCCGGCTGCTGGGTTTGAAGATGAAGAGTATCAGTTCGATTTAGAAGAGGTTATTGTTTTGTTGTTGACCTTCAATTTTAGGATACTATGTTTGTTTGCATCACCTGTTACCAATGCAATTTGGATTATTTGTATATTTGGTTTCACATGTTTGCCCTTTGTTGGGATTCTTTCAATCATACATTTATGTTTAAGCCTTGTAATTTGGTTGTGGTTGAGTTGAACATTTAGTCATATATTGACCATTTGTTGATTAAGTTCAGGCATGGTCTTCTTTTTCGTTTATGTTTTTTTTATAGGTTTAATTATTGGTCATATATGTTGATCAAGTTCAAGTATGGTTGTCTTCTTAATCTTTTTCCATCACAACCTAAGGTTTTTAATTTTCCCACTTTTGAGTTGCACTTTGTTAATACTTCTCCATATGGGTGTGGTTGATTCTTGGGGGGGTGTTAATGTGTTTAGTCTCTTTGTAAATGAATAGAAATTGGATTAACTTCTTCTTCTTTTTCTTCTTCTTTTTAATATATATTTTTATTTTTATTTTTTAATTCTGTTAAAGCTCTTGCCTGTTGGTTTTTACTTTCACTGCATTGGGGTGTGGAGAAGGTATGCATGATAGTTTACTGCATGCTTTGTTTCTCAGGTGCTTCACATTGGCGTCTACTTTGAATATATTTACCTTAAGCTTGTTCTGGAATCTAATTTTTTATATGCTGTCTTCAGAATAATGTCAGCAAGCTAATTCTGGGTTCAGTGGTTTTTCTCCTTTTCTTTTTCCCTGTACTGCTTTTATTTTCTTAAGTGGTTGTGGGGATAGCTTTGGTTTTAGGTTGAACTGTCATTAAGGCAGCTTCATATTCTAATTTGCAATGCGATTGCTTCAAAATGATATGATGGTAAATTTTGTCTGGGGAGTTGAATGGGTTGAGTTGCAACTTGCAAAGCACTTGATGAGGGGAGAATTTTTTTGTTAAACATTATTGAAATAATGTTTGCCATTGTTTCTATCCCCCTGGGTTCTATTGTTGATTTTGGACAGTTTCTTAATTTTAGGTCATTGTTCTGAATGCCCACCATTATATATACAGTTTCTGTTCCATTTATTCATGTAGAGTTCTAAAAGTTATACTGTTGGGTGTTCTATAGTTTATTTAAATAGTTGTTGGTGAAATATTTTTAGGAACCTTCTTATGCTTTCTCTAGGGAACACATTGAATGAACACAGTAGCAATTTTGTTTGGAGTTTGGTGGACATAATTCTCCCGTGAAGTTCTTAGTACTGTGCATTCCATATCTGAACGGAAAGCTTGCGATTTTGATGGCCTAATACTTTGTTTTGTATGATGGATAATGTTTGGAAGGAAGGGAAAATAGATGGATGGAAAAGCCATCCTAGAGAAATGAAGTTGTGCTTTCAGTGAGTAAGAAGGAGAGGCAGAAAAAAAAAATTCTGTTGCTTGTTTTTTCTATCACATGATTTACATATTAAAGGAAGTGTGTTGTTTAAAATGTGGGACAATGTTAAGGGAAAAAAGATCCTTTTTCTTTCTTACATGGTAAAGGAAGTGTGTTGTTTAAAATGTGGGACAATGTTAAGGGAAAAAAGATCCTTTTTCTTCCTTACATGTTAAAGGAAGTATGTTGTTTAAAATGTGGAACAATATCAAGGGAAAAAAAGATCCTTTTTCTTCCTTCTTTTTCCCTCTGTTTTGGTTCACAGCAATAATATGGTGGTGGGAAAGTGTTTCACTTGCCAAAATTTCATTCCTCATCCAGTGGGTAAGTGTTTCACCTCTCCATTCCAGTTCATGCTCCACTTCTTACCATTTATCATCCCTCCCCTTCTTGTTCTTCCTCCTACTTTCCCTCCTACAAATGAACCTTAAAACATTTTAGTCTCAATGATATTAATTTTTTTGTTTTTCATCGCTCCCTCTCGTTTCCTTCCTCTTACTATTCTTTCCTACAAACGAACCATAAAACAACTCAATGAATTTCCAAACTTAGGTTTGCAAGCACATTCGATAGATCTTAAATGCATTATTCTCTTTGTGCATGCATGCAGCCCATGTGCATGAGCACAGAGGCAAATGTGTTGTTTACCTTATGAATGGGTTACATTCTGAGATTTAATTGTATTATAGAACATATGGCTGTGTAACTAACTGCTTTTTTTTCCTCATTTGCAGGGTGAAATTTTAGGATCCTTATCTGAAATAGATGATATAAACAGCACTTTTTCAAAGGTTGGTCTTTATGTCTATTCCCGCCATTTTGTTTCGGTGTTGAGAGTTCACTATATTTTTTAGTGTGGTGTTGGCATTTTAAATATGGTTAGCAATTCATTGGTGAGTTCTTAGAAAACTTTTGATGAAGTTCTATATAAATTTGATGCATCCATTTACGCCACAGCATTCCATAATTGTACTTGCTTTGGGTAAATGTGCCTTTAGAATCATAATTCTTTTTGTTAATTTTGTAAGACCTCAAGTCCAATTTGAGTCATTGTTTACCTACGACAAGGTTGATGGGAGTAATACTTTACATATATGAGCGATTTTAGGTAGCTACTATTATTTTTAATTTGACCTTCTCTTTTATTGCGTTATGGGTCTGGATGGTACTTAAAAGTACAATTAATCTGGTTTTTGATTGGGTTAACGTTTTTCTTCTAAAAATTGGATCTGAAAATTCTATATATTACTTTAGTGGTTTTAGCGAGTGTGCAAGTTTTCTCGTATATGTGTATTTTTTTTTTTTGGGAGCATTGCAAAAGTAATATTAAATAGTGAACTTGTATTATGCTTTTAATTATCGCAATTAGATAAGAATTGATTTTCTGCATAAAAAGTTTTTTGTTTTGTTTTGCTTTTCTAGACTTATCAGCACCAAATGCACTGGGTGTATCTGAGTTATGCACTGGGTGTATCTGAGTTATGCTTTATATTTTTTTGATACCTGTACATGCTGATGATTATTTGCTTAATATAGTTTGGATAATGTTTTTGGAGCTTCTCATCATTTCTGTGTTTTTTATGAGAGTTGGAAAATTGGAGGGGAGGGTATGTAGGAGTGATGGAAGACAGAAGGACAAGATTCTTTTACCTTCTACATTCCTTGAAATCAATCCTGATGTTTTTGTCGAACAATGCACTTCTTTATTTATCTTGCATATTTCATTTACTCCCAAAATGCTTCATGTAATTTTAAAATAATTCCTGATTAGTTTTGAAATTCTGAAATTATTCAGAAATGTTAATGGAAATGTGATCTAAGTGTCTCATATATTCAATATTTTTAACATGTACTGCTTTTGTTGGTCAAATTATTATTATTTTTTCTATTTATTATTATTTTTATTATTGAGAATTTCTCCGATAAGTCTCAATATTTGCCCAAATAGCTCCTAGATTGGTAATTGTTCCAATAGCAGATAATTCCTTAATTCTGAGTTTTTCACTATGATGGGAAAGGATCTTTCCTACATTTCTTTTGGTGGAGGAGCAAGAAAAGAAGGAAATGCTTTTTGCATGATTTTGCTATCGTACTGTTACTTATTAGAGGATTGTTGTCTTTGAAGCAGAGGAGTTGGGCCCATATTTTCATTCTTCTGTGACATTTTTGCGAGGAAATAACATTGTTCTTTTCCCTTTCCTTTCTACCATACTATTAATACTTTCTTTATTATTTCCTTTTTCTTTTTCTCCCCTCCCCTCTTTCTTTCTTAACACTCTTTGTTTATATCAAATGGGTTGTAAATGTTACAGAATACCAAACTTAAATACTAGTACAACCATTTTCTCTGGGTCTGAAAAGATGCTTTCATATAGAAAGTTCCAAAATGGAAATTATCAGCTTTCTGAATATGTGAAAATTGTGAGATTGTGAATTGTTGTTATTTGCTAATTCTCGTGATAGTATACATTACAAGAAAGCAATTGTAAGGTAACTTGGAAGAGGAAACTGCCTAAAAGAACGCAGACTTACTATTTCATTCTTCAAAACTTCATAAACATGGTATCTTGCTGGCAACTCATTGCTAGTAAAAATAATATATATAATTTCTCAAACTCGATTTTGTGTCATTGCTTATTTGATTGCACGTCTACTGTGGTAGGGATGAAGACGGCGAAGGGTTGTTATATTTATTAATGGCTGTTTAATTTGTAATTGTTTTACAGCAAATTTTGAGTTCTGTTTTTCCTTTTTCCCCCCTCCACAGTTGAACAAGGTTGTTAGTGGACCAAGAAGTGCAGGAGTGATCGGTGATAGGGGATCCAGAGAAAGTAAGTATACCAATAGCATATTATACATGGAACTGACATTTTCATTATTAATTTATTGACTTTTTGTTCAAGTTTTTAGTTAAAAGTTTATGCTGTTACCATTATGGTATAAGGTTATGCTGTTATGGTTTGTAGTTTCAGGCCCTATAAACATAAATCTTTTGCATAAACTTATGCCACTGTTTTGAATATGGGTTAGGTACCCCTATGGCTATATCATTATAGATGTTGATAAGGATGTCAATCAGGCCAATGGTATGGATATGAGCTCTATTGTGAGCATTAATGTGAAAATATGCTAGAGGGGCTACTTATCTGTCCCTTCCCTTTTCTCTCCTTTTGTTTGGTGAGGTGGGATGCTGGAAGGGTTACTAATCCTATGGGATTAGAAGGAAATTTCTAAATTAGAACCAAAATTGAATTTTAGATTTTCCATTTTTTTGGGGTAGTTAGACTAAGATTTGTGGTTATTTCATGGAATTAATTCAACGCAATAGCAGTGCAAGGTGTGTGCGCTTATAGATTCTTGTATAATCAGTATAATCTGGATTATTGTAATTAAAATATGCACTTGATTTTTTATTGTGAGTATAACGTATGCGGGGTTAACGGCTTTATGTTGCAATAAAAAACAATAATCATGTAATCTTAAACATGTATTATATTATGATGAAAGTTAAGATCAAACATGGGACAAATTTAATGTAAGTATTCACAAAGTTCATGGATTTTGTAAAACATACATAAGATAAAATAATATGGTCCATCGAATTGATCATGATTTGATGTAAAGTACGTAGATTCATGTTCATATAAAAAATAAAGAAAACGATATGAATGAATGATTAGGAAGTATGTAGATGAGTCCATTGGAAATTGTTTTCTTTAACTTGTTATGGAGCCCTTCTTTTGTGTTGTTATAACTTGACATGGTCTTCTATAAGTGTTAGATATTTCATAATCTAGGCAAAAAATAGTGTAAACCTGATATTGTTAGTTATTATTGTAGGGGATTATGATAATACCATGAAACCCCATGCTTATACGTTGAGAATAGTCAAGAAGTAGAAGTGGAGCATTTTCATGAGTCCAGCGGATTTGCTGTTAAGATCTCATGGCCTACTGTATAATGAAAAAAAATATGATCATAGATATGGCAGATTGGCAAAACAGTTATGCTATGCGCTGGTCGATACGCACAGCGCCTAGTATCCATCGTTTATGGGTAGGATTATTCCATGGCCTACTGTAAAATGAAAAAACTATGGTTGTAGAGATGGCAGGCTGGCAAAGTAGGTGTGTAGGAGACCCTATGTCTTCTTGGTATGTACAATAAGAAGATTATAACTCGTGACAGCTAAAAAGGAGTTCTATTCTGTAATTTTCCTCTGCCAACCCTATTTGAGAAGTTTAATGCGCCCAAAAAAAAGACCAAAGGTTGTCCTTTACCCCACTTCCCATATGCTAATTTCAAACTTGTGCAGATATGCCCTTGGTGTTACTAGAATCGTTATTTAATATGATTATAATGTCTCGTAGGAATTCAAAATTTGCATGCACCAATAATAACATTATACAGTTACTTTGTCTTTTTATCCTCTGGCAAATCATTGGGTTTTAATTTGTTGTGACTTGCCGTGAAGGGGAAAAAGAACCCTTCAATTCACGATTTCTGAGTTTGCCGGAATTCAGGTGCCATCATATTAAGCTTAAGTATGTTGACATTTAGTTCATTAGGGTTCAGGGTGATTGATCCTTCAATTTGGAAGATCATGTTCTACTTGTGTTACTTTCGGTTTTTTAGATAATTATGTCCTACATGTGTTATTATAGCTGCATAGGCTTTATGATGGAATAATCAATCATTCTCCTACAAACCGCTGATGTAATTAGTTGAAAGTTATTAAAATAGGACAGTCTAAGGGCCAGTTTTTCAATAATTTGTAGATTTTAATGTAATGATGCACTAAAGTCCTGTACATGTAATTTTGATTGCCTTGCGTAATACTGAATTTCTTCATCCTTTTCTAAGATTTGGATGGTGAGAGGATCTCTCTTAATTTATTTTCTGCTTAACTTCAAGCCAAAAGTCGGTTTATTTGCACCACATAAAACAACATAACTTTTACTACGGTGTTTGTATCTTGTCCTTTAACTATTCTCAGCTGCTATAATTGTTTCTAATTGTGCTCTGATCTTTTATGTTAATTCAAACTTATATGATTATTGGGGGGTTCTTTTTATATTTTGCTCTAGTGAGTTGACTTAATTTTGCAAAATAGAAGATAAGTTCAATCTTTTGGTCGAGGCAAATTATCTGGATATTCGTGATGAGGGTGAGATTGTATCACTTCAGTAACTGCTTGGTAACTAGCACCTAAGATCACGTGTTCCATGGGTGTTTGATAAAAGACACTTAAATCTGAAGAATCCTATTTTACGTAGTGGGATGTGGGGCCTCTTAGAAATGCAATAGCTTTTTTATCGTTACATTTTAGTTGAAGTTGATTATGTCAATGGGCCTACAACTGAAATTAACATGGCTTAACCCAGTTACACGGGTTGGTTTAATGCATTCTTTTCCCACTGTTTTGATTTTATTGTTGTCATATAATTGTTTTTCTTATTGCGATTCATGGATTTAACCTTGTCAATTTATCATGTATTTTACGGCTTCATGCATGTGTATTTACAAAGAGCATTGCTTATGTGTTTGTACTTTGTATAAGGATGCGTAGACACGCATTTCAAGTTAGCTCGTGCTGCTTCTGTATGTAAAATGTGAAAGTGACACAGGAAGAATCAAAGCCATGTGTATGAAAAAGCCATTCAGTGTTTCTGAAAACTTATCATCACCACTTATTTATTTATCCTATTATAAAATTTGATTCATTAAACTATCAAATAAACATATTTCTTACATATATCTAATATATTTTTTGGATTGAATAAAGATAATTGAACAAGTAAATATATATAATCAATTAAAATTAATGTACATCATGTGAAAAGTGGATTGAAACGGACATGGATATAATTAGAGAGATGAATGCCAGGGTGTAGCAAAGTCAGCCCCCCCCCAAGTCCAACTGAATATTTATGATCTTTGATAATTTTCCTGCTTCTGAACAAATTAAATCCGAAGGCAGGCTAGTAACCAAAGAGTGGGTACTCTACTTAGCTTAACTCGACAAAGCTTTCTCCCAACTAATTAGTGTTAGCTACATGAGTTTTGTTTTACCATTTCAATCTGTCATGAGTCCCACTTTCGCTTAAACTACATGTTAAAATGGCTTTTCTTACTAGTTAACTCATGTTTTATCAAAGAGTTGACTTTAGGGGTTCATTTGGTTAGCGTGAAGTACAGAAAAGAAACATAATTTTTTTAAAATTTTGTAAGTGTTTGGTTAGAGTGAAAAAGAAAATTTTAGGTAAAATAGGATTCCTGTAACTGGTTAATTTTCCCCAAAATGATTCTAGCATAAAACACGGGAAAGTTTTACTTTCTCACAAGAGTGATGCATTTATTTCTTAATTTCGAATTATGCACATATCCTATTGTTGTAGAATTATATGCAAACACAAATAGTTTAAAATTATATGACACATACAACTCAATAAATTATTGTTCCAGAATCCAAACACCTTAAAATATCTCTCTTTATTATCACAATCTCTGTTAGTCTTATAATTTTGTACTCTTGTACAATATTTGAACATCAAAATTTTTGTGCCAATCTCCACGGCTGATCTCACTTTGTAACTAATAATGAATAGTTTTAGATAGTTATGCGGGCAATTAAGAGCTTACACGAAAAATTATAAAGAACTATCTTTCGCATAGGGATAATAATAACAATAAATTTGCACAAGAAATGAGTTCCACCTTAAAAAAATATTATCAAGCCTTATTTTAAGTATAAATAATTTAAAAATATATAAAAGCAATTATATTATTATTTTTAATAATATATCATTTTACTATTTTTGTTGCCTATAAAAAGAGGTTTATCTAACACAAATTCATTTTTTTAGTATTTGAAATAATATGGGTAATTTTGGCCAGTAAATCATTTTCTTTTCATTTTCTTGGTATCCAAACTAACAAAATAATATTTCTCACAACTTTCTTGAAAATTTTTCCTACTAACCATGTGCATACTAGAAACTTGATTTTCCTTTCTTTCACTTTCATTTTCTATCATAATTTCCCGTCTAACCAAACAGACCCTATGTGTATTTAAAGAGAAAAAAAAAAAAAAAAACTCTGAAGAGCAAATCTCTTTTACAACTATTCTGAGCTGGCTACATGAAGACATAAACTTAGCTAAAGCACACGGTCTTATGTCTTGTCTAACTTTTTCTCCCCATTTTAGCTTTGGTCTTATTCTTCTCATAGCATTATGTCAAATAATCACACTCATTTTTTTTGACTGGTGCAGTCATTGGCAGTTGTTGTAAATATCCAAACTATCTTAATCAATTTTCTTTATTTTATTTGCAACACGTCAATCATTTTGCGAATATACTGGCATTTTTATCTTGCCACACATCTACTCAGCATCAGAATCTATATTACAATCGTTTTATGGCTATGTTTTTTTTTTTTTAGCTAACCAACATTTTCTGCTGTGAATTAAGGATGGCCTAACCAAGTATAGGTAATGAAAATGATATTTTTTTGGTTGGTATTTTTTGATCTTCTATCTTCACCATATTGCACTTGTATTTTACCAAAGTTACATTGCATATGTTCAGTTTTTTTCTACTTATATTCTCTTGGGTCTAGAGCTTCTCACCACCTCTAATTTAACTTATCCCTACTCAATTTTCATCAAGCAAAATGATATCATCAGCAAATTGTATACAATATGGAATCTCACTCTTAATATGTTTTGTTAGTTCATTAAGGCAAGAAATTTTGGGCTGATGTTGATCCTTGATGCATGCTTATAGTAATTGAAAACTCACTTTTCCCTCAAAAGCTGTTCTTACCGAGGTCGTAGTCTCATCATATATGTCCTTTAACAAATCATATTTTTATATGTAACTCCTTTGTTAACTAAAATAAACTATATTATATCTTTTGTTTTTGGTAGGTAACTATATTATATCTCTATTCTTCTAACATCTCGAGTTGATAATACCTCTAGCCCCTATTGTACGCTTCTCCAAATTTATATAATTCATATTGAGATCTTTTACCTTATCTTTAGGTCTTTCCTTTAATCTACTCAGTAAATAAATAGTGTCCATCATAGTCAGTGCTCAATAACCCACTTGCAAAGTTTTGTTACTATGACTCATTAATAACCAGAAACAGCTAACAGAACTTAATTCGAATTCTTTGTTTTGCTTAGATTATTTTGGATCTATTTTGTTCGTTTCTTTTGGTTACAGAACACTTAAGCGTATTATCTAGGCATGCATGTTGTCGAGGGAAACGCTAATTGGCATTTGATTGGTGACGAGGACATGATGTGTGTAGGCTGCCCTATAAGAGTTTTGCTGCTAATGAGATTTTCCATATGGAGAAGTATTTAATGCTCTTGACTCCTTTTCATTCTTTACACCATAATCTGGCCATGTAAAAGATTACAGTATGTAGCAAACATTTCAGCTTGTGTGTCATATAACTCTGAGGATATCTTGTGGGGGAGGAGCTGTCAATTATAGTGTCATTGTAACCTACAAATGCGATGAAACTTTCTTCTTGTTAGTAGTACCTAGTTGCTAATCTTTTAACGACAATTTATTTCTTCCAGGTTCATCTGCTGCTGAGTGGGCACAAGATGCAGAATTTCCTAACTGGTTTGAGCAGCATATATTTGATGGTGAAAGCACTCAGGAAGGCAAAAGATGGTCATCACAACCACATTCTTCTTCTGCTCATGTTGAGGAATCAAAGCCTTTGTACAGAACATCTTCATATCCATTGCAGCAGCAACAGCCATATCCTCCTGCTGGTCATCCAGAGGAATCAAAGCATTTGTATAGAACATCTTCATATCCAGAACAACAGCAACAACACCAACGCCAGCATTTCTCTAGTGAGCCAATTATTGTACCAAGATCTTCTTTCACATCATATCCTCCCCCTGGTGGCAGATCACAGCAAGCTTCACCGAATCATCATTCACGCCATTCTAATATTCCATACCATCCAGGTGGTCATCAGATGCCGCTATCTTTGTCCAATGTCTCTCCCTTCTCTAACCCACAGCTTCAATTGACTGCCTTATCTCACGGTTCACAATTTGGTGGAAATTTGCCTCAATTTACTTCTCCCGGTCTCTCTGTTAATAACAGGCCCAATAATCAATGGGTCAATCAGACTGGTTTATTTCCTGGAGATAATTCTATCCTTTTGAACAATATGATGCAGCAGTTACCTCATCAAAATGGTTTAAGGCCTCCGCAGTTAATGCTGCAACAACAAACACAGCAACATAGACTGCATCACCAATTTCAGCCATCATTTGGCCATTTACCAGGGCTGCAGTCGCAACTATTTAACCCTCATCTTTCTCCAGCCCCACAAATACTGAACAAGCTTGAAATGCTTGGGTTGAGTGATATGAGAGATCAAAGACCTAAGACAATGTCAAAAAGTAGACAGAACTTCCGTTATTCTCACCAGGGCTCTGATACTGGTAGTCAGAAGAGTGATAGTGGGTGGCCACAGTTCAGATCTAAGTACATGACAGCTGATGAAATTGAGAGTATTCTTAGAATGCAGCTTGCTGCAACTCACAGTAATGATCCCTATGTGGACGATTATTATCACCAGGCTTGTCTTGCAAAAAATTCTGCTGGTGCGAAGTTGAAACACCATTTCTGTCCAACTCAGCTTAGGGATCTTCCTTCCCGAGCTCGTGCTAATACCGAGCCACGTGCTTATCTCCAGGTTGATGCTCTTGGTAGAGTCTCCTTCCCTTCCATTCGTAGGCCTCGACCGCTTCTTGAAGTCGAACCTCCAAATTCACCTGGTGCTGGGAGCACCGAACAGAAAGTGTCTGAGAAACCCTTGGAACAGGAGCCAATGCTTGCGGCTAGAGTAACTATTGAAGATGGCCTTTGCCTTCTTCTGGATGTAGATGATATTGACCGGTTCTTACAATTCAATCAGCTACAAGATGGTGGGGGCCAGTTGAGACGGAGGCGGCAGGTACTGTTGGAAGGACTAGCAACGTCGCTTCACCTGTTTGACCCACTTGGCAAAAAGGGCCACACGGTTGAACTGGCTCCCGAGGATGATCTTATTTTTTTGCGGTTAGTGTCCCTTCCCAAGGGGCGGAAGCTCCTTTCAAGGTACCTTCAGCTCCTGTTTCCAGGTGGTGAGCTCGTCCGAGTAGTCTGCATGGCCATTTTCCGTCATTTAAGGTTCTTATTTGGGGGACTCCCTTCTGATCCAGGATCTGCCGAAACTGCTACCAATCTTGCGAGGATGGTTTCAACTTGTGTCCGAGGCATGGATATTAAAGCACTAGGTGCTTGTCTTGCATCTGTGGTTTGTTCCTCTGAGCATCCTCCGCTCCGCCCCCTTGGGAGCTCTGCTGGTGATGGAGCATCTGTCGTTTTGAAATCTGTTCTCGAGAGGGCAACTGAACTCTTAACAGATCCCCATGCTGCTGGCAACTGCAGCATGCCCAACCGGGCCTTTTGGCAGGCCTCTTTTGATGCATTCTTTAATCTGCTCATCAAGTACTGCTTTAATAAGTATGATACTATTATGCAGTCATTGCTCATGCAGGCCCCGGCCGACACACCTGTTATTGGGTCAGATGCAGCAGCTGCTATTAGTAAGGAAATGCCAATTGAACTCTTGCGTGCTAGTCTTCCTCATACTGATGAGCATCAGAGGAAGCTGTTACTGGATTTTGCACAGCGATCCATGCCTGTGCTTGGATTTAACGGTCATAGCAGGGAGAGTGGTGGCACATGAATTCTTAGTTGATCAATTCTGTTGTGTTACTGCAATGCACGTAGAAGCTAATTACTGATGAATGTATGGGAAATGCGGACCCGTGATAATGTTAAAGAAGTATCTATGTTCTCAGCATGCTTCCGTGTTTGGTCTTGTCAGAAAACAGGTCATGGGATTGCATGGAGTTGAAGTGAAGGGAGTAGAGCATTAGCCCTAGACGTAAGTTCAGTCATTTAGGTTTTACATATTTTCTTCCTCGCCATCCGTTCTGCTTCCTTGGAAGAACCTGTAAGCAGGGCTATCTGTGTATTATATTGAAGCTTTGGTCTCCTTTTCTTTCGATATGGGAGCTTGTTTTAATGCTCTGTTATGGACTTCGTGGTATTAGTGAAGGCATGGGGTTAATGTTGTTCATTCGAAATACTTCCCACATCCCTTTATTATTTACGTCAAGGACGTGGGAAGTATTCTGTTTCAAATCTGGTAAGTCAATCCAATTCTTCTTCTCCTGTGTTAGGTTCTGGGACAATGAAAATATTTGATAATAGTTTTTCTAGCTCAGTTTGAACTCAGGTTGATCATGTGTTTTCTATCACCCCTGAAGGCTGACTGTAAAACCTGAGACAATAGATAGAATTGATTATATTGCCTTAACCCTTGTCTAGGTATCTATATTGCAAAAAATTGTTGCTGACGGTTCTGCTAATATTTGTGTGATTTGGTTTCTGGGTGAGGTGAATGTGTCGTGTATTGTAATTTTAGCGGACGAGGCTATAAAAGTCTGCTATTATTATTAGCTACTGAATGCCCAATGTAACTAGGTTCAATGACTTGGCTGTATGTTGCTTGTTCCTGGCATCACTTGAAAATCGATGCAAGTTATTTTTTAGTCTGTACTTGATATGGTATTGAATTTAGGTTCCAAGGTCGTGAATTACATTCTACCAACAGAGTCTTTTACTGAGGACTAGGAACAAAGGGAGGGACAACCTGATTGCTGTTGATGCTCTCAGAATTGTTGTCGGTTGATATTTGTGAAGGAGAAATTAACATGTGTATCTGTGTTACATCTTAAGTGGAATGGTATAAGTCACAATTTTTCTGATGACGGTTGTCCCTTCACCAAATCTGAGCTCGAATTGTTTCTCCAATGGCAAAATTTTCAATTCTTTAATTTCGTTTGTTAAACCTTCTAATTTCATCTTGCGAATCTTTGAATTTTTATATTATATCATTGCATGACATACAAATTGATAGGAACAAAAATAACTGTACTCAGTCTTGCTATTTTGATGTTCTTGGTCAATTAAAAGAATATTATAATAGTTCAAGAATGAATTGTGTGTTTATTTACATTATGTAGTTGAAATGTTTACTCTTTTAGAATTTTTAAAGCAATATTTTAATGTATAAAATTTAAAACATATCTATTAATAAATTTAGGAATTTCTTTCACTTAACAATCAAAAAACCGTTTCACTATATGCACGTCCATATAATGCCAAAATTCTTATAATTTTCTCAATCCAATTGATAGTATTTCCTCATAATGTGTGGCCAATAGAAAAAAAGGGCTTCCAATTTTTCAGCTTGTAAAATTAATGTTTGCTCAACTGTTTTACCAACCCGATCCATGTTATGTAAAGATTTGTTTTTTGATTTAGAGTGGTGAGTAAACCGGGCGAGTCATGGTCAAAACACACAGCGTGGTAAAAACGGCATTTTGATTACATCTCACATGTTAAGACATTATTAATTAGTTTGCTTTCACTTTCACAAACAGTTGGAAATTGACTCATTAAAGATTTAGCTAGGATTTATAATTTATTCATGCATGATAATGAAATTATGGTGGATCGAGTCTCAACTAATTCACTCATTTGTTACATTTAGCTCGAGTTTAGAAACTATAGGCTCAATTCATGTAAATACATAAATATTCGTATGGGTTGGCAAAATATCATGTCCCGTCGGATATCTGCTCCGCTTAGAACAATTATGGGGCTGATTAAATGGTTTTGGGATGAGAATGAAAATTATGATTGAAAACTCCCATGGTTATGGGTCGGGGATGGGAAAAGTTCACCCCGCCCTATCCTGTTTATAGTGATAAATTATAATTTTGTCCTTATACTTTATTTCATGTTCAATAATATTTGGTATATATTAAGTAAATATTAATTTATCTTTTGTATTATTCTTATTTGAGAATTTCTATATATTATTTTGATGTTCCAACAATAATTTTAGTCTTAAATTTCAATTAAGAAGTTAAATTTTATTTTTATCCACATAAGAGAAAAAAATTATTATAGTAGTTGAATTTTTATTTATTTATTATTATTAATTACTTTCATTTCATTTATATTGAAATTACGAAAAAATTACTCCTGCCCATTTGATAAACGATTTTGGAACAGGAATGGAAGTGACTATTTTAAAGAGGGTGGGGATGGAAATGAGTGTGGGGATGGGAATAAGGACACAATTTGAATTTATTATATTAACTAGGCAAGAAATTCATACGTACTTTCCCAAAAAAGGGTAGTGATTTTGTACCAAGCTATGGCCCATTTAATTTTTTTAATAGTTTTTTTTTTTTTTTTTTTTTTTTTTTTTCTTTAGAGGGGTGAAAAAGAAAAAAAATTTGAATAATATGACAGAGTCAGTGTCGAATCTTTGAGGATTGAGGTTTCTAATTTTGCATAAGCAATTCAAGAAATTATTCGGTGGTGCAGTATCCACCACCTCAAATGTGGTGTCACTTTTAAGAAGCCATGCGCCAATTATAGAAATCCACGTTAGCAAAAAATACAATTAAGCATTGACCAATCCAAGTCGGTTGACCTTCCCGCTCCACGTCATCAAACTCTCTTTTCCCCTCTCAACGCTGCCACTGTCGCCATAAATTGCGTCCCGCATCTGCCGCAGATGGTCGTCGCTGCTAAAGATCGATTCCGATGAAGACGATCTGCTGAACGAAACCCAATCCTCCCGCCACCCCAAATTGCCGTGGAGGACGATCTCGCCGCCACGAGTGTCCTCAACCACACCCATCAACGGCGCCGATCTGGGTTGATGAAAGATGATCTGCCGGTTCATTGTCGGAAGTATCTAAGGTCTATTCTCTGTTTTCACAATCTGAGGACACTCGCGCTTAACAGATCCGCGGTTATGGGTGTGGAGGTGGTGCCGCCGCTAGTTGTGCTGGTGGTTGTCAGTGGCGGTGGTTATGGAGATAGTGGTGGTGCCGCCGCCACTGGTTATGCTGGTGGTTGCGGTTATGGAGACCGTGGTGGTGCCACCGCCAGTAGTATTTTTTATTAACAAAAATTAACACATGGCATTCTGTAGGTGTTCCAGACCACATTAGAGGTGGTAGGTACTGGACCACCTAATCATTTCTCAAACCACTGTGCTGGTGGTTGTCGGTGGTTATGGAGAAGTGGTGGTGCCGCTGCCAGGAGTATTTTTTATTAACAAAAATTAACACATGGCATTATGTAGGTGTTTCAGACCACATTAGAAGTGGTGGGTGCCGGACCACCTAATAATTTCTCAAGCAAGGGAGAATTTTCGTCAAATCAACGATTGGACCGTCATGTGTATAAGAAACTAAATTAATACGGATAGAGTTGCCAGCTTGTATTGGTATTAGAGCATTTATAATGGAGTATCTAAAATTTGGGTATCTAAATTTGTTACATTAATATTTTTTAAAAGTCACGCTAGCATTTTGAAGAGTTTCATTTATTTTTGCTTTCTAAAAATATTAATGTTTTTCATAATTTTTTTTTTTAAAAAACTTTTTTCTAACAGTTATATCCATTATAATTTGATGTATTTAATAAAGGTAAAAACCAAGATTGTGAAAATCGGGATCCTACGCGGAATCGTTTTGAATTTCGTAGAATCGGATCGTGAATCGTAAGATTCTACCAAACTAATAAAAATATAACTCAAACCTGCTTTGTAAACAAAAATTATCTTTAAAATACATAGAGAATAAGCCAAAGCACAGTATATATATATATAAAGTACATTATATAAGGGATAAGTTCATATAAAAATATTCAAACTTCTTTTAAATTCATAATTTAAAATTTTATTTTTTTATTTTCCTTTGCAGGTTAAAATATGATTGGTTGCATAATAGTTATAATAGACCCTGCTACATAACATAGTGCCTCTAATATATCAAGAAGGGTAATATGGTAATTTTACAGATTTTAGGTCAAGTATACAATATACATCTTTTGTCTATCTGTATGGGCCGAGTCTAGGAAATCAGCCGACATCCAAAGATAAACGACATCTCTTCTCGTCTCTCTCAGGTAAGGTCACTTAGTCTCGAATTCTTGATCTTGTTCCCTCTCTCTCCTCTTCCTCCTCTGCTTCTTCTTCTTCTTCTTCACCTGAAACCGTAGCAACCTTTTTTTTTTTTTTTTTTCCTCAGGCATCTTATCTCTTCATCGGAGTTGCTTTGTCGATCGTGAAAGAGAAGAACCGTAGAGTCTATAATAAATCTAGGGCTTCTTATACCCAAAACAGGACCACAAATATGGAGTAATTCAGAATCGCTGGGATCGTGTAGAGTCGCACGATTCTACAATTCTAACAACGATTCTATCCCGATTCTACCAATTGAGCGATTTTGTTAAGATTTGGATCGATTTTGAGTTCTGAGAATCGCGATTTTGATAACTATGGTAAAAACAAAGGTAATTTTTTTTTAAAAAAAAGCATTGTTAAAAATAAATTTCATTTAGGGAAAAACAAAAAAAAAATGTAAAAAAATATAATTTTGGACCAATATAGCCATTAAGGCACTATTGGAGTTAGCCAAAAACAATGCATAAAACGGCGAAAAATGATAGGTCTTTTGACCTTAATTGCCGACTCTTCTTCCGAATACAACGCGGTTGGATTCCGTTGGAACAGTTAAAATTTTTTTCGTAAATATCTCTTTCTCTTCGACTGATTCCCAACCACGTTATATTCAGAAGAAGTGTTGGCAATTAAGGTCGGAAGATCTATCACTCCTCTAAAACGGCTATAATGTTAATAGTAATCTTCAATTTTTTTTTAAAAAAAAAAAAAATTAAATTTTCTAATTTTTTTTTTTTTTTTTTACTTTTTTTACCCAACAAAAACTTTAAGGCACCGTTTGGTTCATTTGTTTTGAGGGAAAAAAAGGAACCAAAAAAAAAAGAAAAGAAAAAAAAGAGGCCAAAAATACTCCCAAAAGTGGTTTCTATAATTTATTCTAGCCAAACACGCTCTTAACCTAATTATAAACTAAGAGTTACAGTGATTTGGGCTTTAAAAAATAAAGAAAAAAGGAAGTGGGCTCGCGTAAAGCAAACTCGCAATCGCTAATAGGGTCACCGTTTTTGGCGACCCATTCCGCGAAACAAAAATTGGGCCTACATTTTAGAGATCCCATTGGACTGTCCAAATTGCTAGAAAAGCCCAAAATCGTTATAAAAAAAAAGGGCCATCGGAGCTGCTCTTATGGTCATAAATTGGAAGACAGGAAGCCAAGTGGTACAATGTCATGTCACATTTTGGTGGCGTAATTTGGTCGAGCGCCCAGTTGTCTTAAACAAAGAGTACCCGTGTTCGAGTTCCCCTAGTGAGTTTAACTTAGTTTTCACTTTTCATATATCCATCATCAAGAATTTGAATGGACATTGTGACATATTTACATCCCAATTAATAATTTAAGCTTGTAGAACAATGTATGTATATTTTCTAGTTTAAATGTTGGCGTAATTAGATTAAGTTAGAACATTGATCAATTTTACCAAAGTCCTCGTCTCCTTTCTTTTCACACCTGACAGTACTAATAATACAAGTCACATATTTGTAGTCCTACTTTGCATTTAAAGATGTT